GGACATTAATTGTGGTTTCATTTGAGCATAGCACAGATATACTTCGAACCAAACTATGGATCAGAATTTGACAAATGTATAATCATAAATATTGTTTTTCTTCACTGTCCAAAGTTACATCGTCCACGATTATTGCCACATTATTACGTGATACAAATATACCTTACCTAAAACATATGTTTCTATCTATTTTATCGTTTTAATTAGACGTATATAGTTAACGAAAACAACGTTGCTCAAGAAATTGCTTTTAATAAATGGGCGAATGTAATACGATATTCTACTAGTAGCCTTTACTAATTAATCACTAATTAACAACATTCTGTATTGACTTCTAGTTTTGTTTTAATAAATTATTGAAAAAAAACAATATTTGGCAGGTTATAACCCAAAATGAGTTACAAACCAACAGCAGAAACAAAAATCCCCTTGTGTGTAATTACGCCCATACTGCGATACGAGTATATCAGCTTGTTTTAACTCTTAAAGATCTTGAAATGAATCTTTGTAAAGCAGGATTTAGGCTGATGTTGTGTAATGAAAACGCTGTATGGACTTACGCATGTCTTAACTTATTGCCAGCCAAAATAAAGTACATATTTGATAATAAATTTAGAAGCTTTTTAAAAGAGAATATAGTTATATCTTATATGTTACTGGTTTTTATAAAAATTGTACCTGCAATCGAATCAAGATTAGTATTACGTTCATAATATTCAAACTCAGAACGATTTTGTGCAATACGCTACGTATAAGTAGAACCTATTTCACCGTATAACACTAGTGATAAAAGTTTTCTAAAACAACAGTCAGGAAGTTTCAAAACTTTGCATATGATGATGAGCAGCAACATTGTTGCGCTCAGAACTGACGTTCCGACATATCTCTAGTGCTGACCTAAATAACTAAAAACTAGAAACTATTTACGATGGTTATGCCTTGTTAAGTTTCGCCTGCATTAAGTATTTCAAGTACCTAATCTGTCCATGTAGTGACGGATGAAGAATACGGAGTGTCACCACCCCTATTCACCCGTGGGTGTCCTAAGAGCCGACAGAGGGAAGGAGGGAGGGAGGGAATTAACTACGCAGGATAACAGCACTGCAATAAACTCTATACCAACCTGTCGGCGAGCGTGGTATTGTAGGCCAAAATCTCATTTTTAAGGAGAGGCCTATGTCCTGCAGTGGACTGTTAAAGGTTATTGATGTGATGTGATTCAAGTAGCTATTGGTATGGCAAGGACCATGCTCTAGTTGAGTTCTCTTCGGTGGGGCGTCGGAAGGGTTAAGTAATAAGATAGTTGAGGACTGAAGCGATAGCTAGATAGTGAAATAGCCTCTTGAGAGAGTTGAAATAATAAATATCACACGCACAATATGGTCCCAAGAGAATAATAAATCATGAAAAACCTAAAAACGACGATATTTCAAGTTAATTCCAAGACAATTTGTACTCCATTTTCTATTGAAATATGTAATGCATGTCATTTCAATCGATTCTTATGCTATCTCTTAATACTAAATCCTCAGTTCTCAATACCTTAAACTTTTAATGTGTGTACATAATTTTCTACGTAAGGAAATGGAAGTTGAAATAAAAGTTATAAAAACTGGATCCACTATCTTGTTCTACGCACGTTTACATACACATACGTTTCAGATTTACGGTACGAAGAAGTTCGTCGGTCGTACGTCCCCGGTCTAAACAAGTACGCCTCAAAAACTACTACTGTACACTGTGGGACAACCTGCTTAAAATTCAACAATTGTGCTACGTACAATAAATTCAACTCGAGAGACTCCCCGGCGTAGTAAATTTTGTGCTTATTTTCTACAAATTATTTCAGTTAAGCGCTCAGCTTCCTAGATGGGAGAATACAGCGACGGCGAAAAATAGTTTTCAGGCATGCTTCAGTTTTAAAGCAAAATTGTTAAAGTTAAGCCGCTATGATACATAGGAGGATTGTACCAATAGTTTTATTGTATCCATAAATTCGGATTGGAAGAATTGGTTTAAGAGTAAAATTGGTGTTTGCTGGAAAGAGATTGCATTGAAAAAGGATGGTAATCATTCAGATTAATTGAGCTAGACAAAAGTGTTACGAATTCGTGTTCGAAACTACTGCATTTAATTTAAATAGAACAAAAATATCTATGAGATAAATATTATTAAATAAAATCTTATTTAATCTTTCATTTATTTAATTTTTAAATGGAATAGAAAAATTCAAATGAAATAGTAAATGTACCATACTGTTTCAGAGAAAAAAAAAATACTAAGTGAAACACCGCTAACCTATTAAACTATAGTTATGTGGAGTAGTATAGGTATGTACTTACGGGTGAATATAAATAAAAGTCAATATCCATTTACTGTTATAATTTATACTGTGAAATTATTTTTATCACAGTGTAATTGCGTTTATGCTTATGTTGTTTTGTGTGTCTATAATAAATGTTACGTGGTAGGTGTGAGCCCTACAAAACCATTAAAACGACTAACACAAAATCGGCGTACCCTCCATTTGTGTACACAAGTGTGTACTTCTAGTTTCTATAATTATTAAAACACTTCTATGTGTACATAAGCATTTAATAGCTATAGAAACTCCCAATTCTCTCAAGGTCTTTAGCTGTAAATCTTATTACATCAATGATAAACTGCTGCGTAACATCCAATATTAACGTAACGGCTAAAGTTTGAAGCAGCAGTAATGTCGATATTATACACGTTAAAGGTACATCGATACATTAATTTTATCTGCGATATGAATGTGGAATCGTGACACTAAACTAAATAAAAAGCACATAGAGTCGTAAGCGTAAAACCCAATATTAAATTGTTCATCGTTCAAGCTACAAAATCGATTTCTATGAACTTCTTGAAAACTTGTCAATTTATTTTTATAAAAAGACAACTCCCACACTGGGAATATATATAATACACACCTAGTACAGAATTTGTCTTGAAATATATGTATATTAAATCGCAGAATTCTTAAAAAAAGTTCCTTACTAGCAAGATACCTTTCTTGACTTCTTATAGCGTGTAACGTTTTGTGTAACGTTTTGTGTAACGTGGCAGAGTGATTTTCCTAGTTTCTTTTATGAGCATATGCCTGCTTGACCCCAACTGTTTTTAGGAATGTAATAATTTGCAGGTGAGACAAAGAATATGTGCATGTGGGCAGGCTCGACATGAGTGACACCACAGCCTCACAGAAAACCGGACAGAAGACCGAAAATCTTTTGTTGCTGTTCAGTAGTAAGGTCACCGAAATCCTTAGGCAGTCTGTTTGTTTGAACCGTATACCAGCAAAATGTCTTGTTAATTGTTAAATTGAAAAAAGAATACTTTAAGCCCAGAGGAAACAAGACTGAGACTAGACTACCTCGAACTACGGTATGTCGATCCTGAGATTAGAGAAGCTACTATGCCTACCCATAATATCGTTCATATTATAGTAGTATGGGTATTAAAGAGGAACTGTAAAACGTCTTTTTTGGACACGCGGTGTTTAAATACTGACTGACTATTACTGCTTACAATTTGTTGCATTTATTTTACAATCTATACTTCCCTAGTTTATATTATAAATGTAAAAGTGAGTTTGTTTGTTACGCTTTAACGACTAAACACCGATTTTTTTAAATTCTTTTAGCAATCGAAAGCTTCATTATCAGCGAGTAACATAGGCTACGTTTTACCGTAATAACCGATATACATGCAGACGAAGCCGCGGGCAAAACCTGGTCTTAAAATAAAATTCATAATTTCTCTCGGAGAAAAATGATAAAGTGTATGTGTATGACCTTTGGTTGTTCAGCAAAAGGATTTGTTACAAATGATATATTCGAAAGACATTAAGCAATTTTTAAGCAATTTTTACATTTTCCTGCGACCATGAATTTATTTCACTCGAACGCAGGGAATTTATGGCTTCCCTTATCAATTTACGAATAATATAGCGTATCCTGCGCGTTTTTTCTAATAAAAATCTTAATTTTGGACCTACATCGCTCGTTTTTGTTAGAATATTAATTTTTAATTATAAATCTTAGTACTTAGTAATGAAAATAAAAACTAATTGTTAAGGATAGAATAATTCTACTGCTACTTTTATTGGATAGACAATTAAATTTGAAACTAAAGAAATATTTACTAAATCTAGTTACAACAACATCTTAATTCTAAAGTATGTTAATTCAGCTTTTAGTTCAAGCACATATTCACAGTGTGTTTTTGGAGTTGATCATCAAGAAGGGATTTGTCTCAATCGCAAATGAATTTTGCCAGCTCATATCTTGACGAGGCGTGTCTGTAAGAAATCTACAGTTGTGTATATATTTTTTTAAATATTTTATGTAATTTGATCAAGAGTAGATCCCGTTGAGCAAGGAATTGCGATAAACGACTGCACGGATGGCGTAGTGGTTTAAGCGGTCGCCGCTTCCTACTACGCTGAGTGTTATAGATTCGATCTCCACATGGGGCGACACTTTGTGTGGTCCGCGAGTTGTTGTTCTGAGTCTAGGTGTTCTTTGTGTCTGTTTCATGTATGTTTGTGGGGTCCCCCGTGATAATATTCCCAGTGTAAAAAAAAAAACAAAACAAAAAAAAAAGCAATAGGTACTGTGTCCTTAATGGAAAATAAATTATTCCTTTTGAGATACGCAGATGTAGTTACGCATGTCAGTTAGTAATTACACAGAAATTGCAACTAGATGTGTTTATCGTGTGTATTCATAACTTGTATTACTACATTTATTAATTACTAATTTTATTCAAAACATTTGTAATAAAAATACTGCCAAAAGTATTTGAACATTTTGGGTTAAATCTTTTAAGAGAAAAGTACGAGTAGTACATTTATACAAAACAAATGCATGCAATAATATTATTTCCCGTTCCAATTCCACAATGCATGCAGAGCTTATCGGTTTAATTAAAAAGTAATTCATTACAATTCAACAATCCAATATAAAAGTAATATCGGAATGGTTTTGGTGCATATCGTGATAACTGTGTGGGCTTGTGTGTGTTTCTTTCATTTTATTCTTATATCAGGACTAACCCAAAATGTTGATTCAAGTAAGTTATTTGCATATTTATAGCAGTCTAGTCGTCAGTCAATCAGTCGAAAATATTATTTATATATGCGGTTGTATTGAACTAATATTTATCATCTGTACGTATTAACAAAAAGGGAATTTGGCTTTTTCATTAGTCCACCTTTTATGACAGATGGTGATCACCATTTCCTGATCGACGTTCTAAGTAGATAATTTGTCTCAGTGCCGTGCAACTGGGTGCTTGATAAATCTTTTATCTGGTATGTCTACCGTGTTTGTGATAGGCTTCTACATCTTCAGTGTTACACACTATATGTTTTCACAGGTTCTCATCTCAGTACAACTTAAATTATGTCAGTTGGGCATTTCCACACCAACGGTCAAACTTAAAATATATAAAAAAACCGAGTTAATAATCTTTCTGGAATTCCAATATTATTAAAAAAATAGAATTAACTATACTGTACAACAACATATTTTCCGTGTGGTGACCCCTATTCATTCCACGAATCGTAAGAGCTAACCAAGAGAGCAAAATGCGCCCGACAACAGCACTGCAAAGAGAAGGAAAACTAGATATAGAATAATCCCTTTTTTTTTTTCTTTAACGTGTGGAAACCCTCTCGGGCCGTCACCCCACCGGGGTTTACGGCGGGGTGGTGTGTCGGACTCGGACCGACTAAACCCACACGGTGTGCCACTCTGCGCCTGTAATAGGAGGGATCCGGGAACTGCTGTTATTAGGACCTCCGGACCCCTCCTAGCGCCAGCCCGCAATGATGCGGGCACCACCTTCAGGTACATTCTCTATTTAGGCGACATCCGGCACACGCGGACGTCGCCTCCTGGGGACCCCTCCACCCGCGTCCACACTCAAGGCGTCATGAGGCGGTGATAAGCGCGCCTCCGCCGCCCGGTTCGCCGGCGACGGATTGGGTCCGAGTGGAAGCTGTCCTCCCGGGCCTTCTCCGCCGCCTCCTTCTGCGAGATTACCTCCTCGCAGAAGGTTGCGACCGCGGTAAAACAACTTTCGCTACCGGCCATGGAGCGAATTACGGCCGGTAGCGAGAGATCTACTCCGATGACTGCAGTGAGGGCCCGGCGCTGCGTCGCCCATGCTGGGCAAACCGCCAGCGTGTGCTGGGCCGAATCCTCACTGCAGTCGCAGTGGTGGCAGGCGGGGCTCGATTCCCTCCTAGCGACCGAGTACAGGTACTTTCCGAAGCAACCGTGCCCGGAAAGCACCTGCGTCAGCCGGAAGGAAAGGGTCCCGTGCTGCCGCCCTGCCCACTCGGCGATGACCGGCTGGAGAGCCTCCACGGCGGCAAAGCCAGCGCGTGGAGTCTCCAGCCGGAACGACCATCTGACCATGGTGGCTCGGCGAGCGGCTTCGCGCCACTCGCGCACGTCTTCGGGCGGAGGGCGAAATCCGCTCTCCGCCCGGAAGTCAGCCACTCGCCTAGGACACTGTCACTAGTCTGTCTGTCTGTCTCACTGTCCTAGGACAGACCCCTGCGGAACACCGCACGACATGGCCCTGCGTCTCAAGACGCCATCTCGGTCCTCGTACATGACGGTTCGCTCCTCAAGATGGTCTATACTTTTAAATCCTAGTCTAACCTAGATCTTATTTCTAGAAATACCCCTCTGGTCATTAACATGTTAGGACAACTTACACTTATAATTGGAAAAATTGGTGATATGTAATTCTTTATTTAAAAACTCAAACAAACGATCGTAAATGATTAATGACTATTAACAGAATTTTGTGATAACTATAATAATGCATATCGATGGTTGCAAAATAGTTGTATTAATGTTTTGGCGACCGGATGGCTTAGTGATTTGTGTAACGGACTGCTATTCCAAAGGTCGCGGGTTGGATTCCCGCTCAAGTCAAACATTTGCATTAACATTTAATGTTTGATCTGGTCTTTGTGTTTTTATGTGTAATAAGTATGTATTTACAAAATGAAAGTATATATGTATTTATATCAGTTGTCTATTAGCCATAGTACAAGCTCTGCTTAGTTTGGGACTAGATGACGTTGTGTGAATGTGGTAGAATATATTTACATATATGTATATATACTATTAATGTCATCGATATATGAATTATTGGCTTGTTTTTAGATAAACATAGAAAAGAAAAAGAAGAGGAATTGGAAGAAATTCAGCAGAAAACACCATTGATTGAGTATGTAACTTTCAATAATGTTAACACACTACAAAAAATTGATCACACAACTACTATTTTCTTACACTTTTTCCATATTTTTTTGGGATCACCTCAATGTGTTTTCTAATCTATAATTGATCACCTATTTCCTTATTTCAACACATCTACCCAAATCTTCAACTCGGAGCATCTTTACGATCCTTCTGTACTCTTGTATCCGTCAACTTATCAATAATTAATAGTAAGCCTAATTAATAGTAAAACGTAACCAAACTACAATACTTTATCTTGGTTGTGACTGTTTGAGCATATGTAGGATGTAATACTTTAGACAATATGAGTATATTTTAGGTACGTGGTGCCAGTGGATTTCCTTTTACTGTCCTGTTGTATTGTGTCTGCTCCAAATATCCTGTAGATATATACTATCTCTCTAAATATAACATATGCTCTCTTCGCCACATAATCTCATACCTTACGGGAATAGTTTTAAAGAGGAGACAGTGGAGCAAAGTGGACAATTATAAAAGGCAAAAAAGAGAAGGAACTAATATACTGACATATACCTACAGTCACTTGCAGTTTATTTTTTTATTCACAGATTGAGCCTTATTACTCTTAAAATACTAATCGTAACCAAATTGTTTTTTCCGTTTCATGATCAAATTCTTTTAAAAAATTAAGTCTTACGCTAATTATTTCTTATCATGTCAATATTAATAGAAATAGTCATCCAATGGCAAAAAAAGATGGCAATCCATTAATAGCAATCAATTATTTTTTATTACTTCAACACAGCTCAGACTTGTAAACTTTGCGATTGTACCTAAAGAGTAATCGAGAATAAATATTGGCACACATTCTACTATGCCTACTTTTAATTTATAATACTAGCCATACCATGCAACTCTTCGCTGTGGCACAATGTGGATGCATTGATGAAGAATGAGGAATAAAACTGACGTGATAAATATATAAAAGCAATCTTTGAAGCGGTTTGTATATCGTGTCAAAATTTGAGCTAAATCGGTGCAAAAGCTTTTTAGTTTTTAAAGCGTACACAAAACAAATTAATATTATATAGATATGTAAATGAGATAATGAGAGAAATAAAGTATACTGTGTTAAATGTTGCAGTATTATCTTCACTGACGGTACGTCACGAACCTGCACGGGTGCAATAATTCACGAGTACGTAGTAATCACGGCTGGACACTGCTTGTAAGTATTTGTTAGATACAACTAAATCATTACATATTTTCAAGCCTAATAATATTATAAGCAGCTTTAAACACAAAAATAGTTAACACAAGATCTGCGTATTGTGATTTAGAAATAATATTGTGATAAAAGTTTTGTTATTATAGTCTAAAAATGTGGTTAATTTTGCATGTTTTGATTCTTATCCATGAGAATACACTTTAGAACGGTCAATTAAAAGTCTACTTAAGAAACCGGCATATATATTAGTATAAAATTATTTCAATGTGCCAATATTTTCACAGCGTACCCATAACAGGTCGAACTCACCATCGCGAACTTATAGCGGAACTAACAGGGTCTTTTGTAGTTATTGGCACAAAGAAAAAATTTGAATCTGGCAACGAGCAATATTTGCCTATAGAGAGAGTTATAACGCATCCTAATATGAAAGGATGGAGTTGTGACCTAGCCCTAGTACATACGTTTGCGAGCCTGACTGCGGATAAAATTGGAGCTGTTATGCCATTGGCTGGTGAAAAAACATCGACTTCTATAGAGCCGAATGTCACGATTTTAAGTTGGGGACGTATTGTTGAGGCGGTGAGTGTTCACGTGATTATTTATTTAAATATTCTTAATAAGACGTGATGTATATTTTTACCACCAGACCATTTTTGAATACTTGGAATTGGATAGACTGACCTTATTTTTTTAAATTTAAGTACCATAATTAATATTGTCTCTGTGTGAGCGTATATAGGATACATTATTAGGTACGTGGTACCAGTAGATTTCCCTTTACTGTCCAGCTACAAATACTTGCTTGCTCTACATCCTGTAACAGAATATAAGTTGGATCATCAGCTTCACTTAGGAATAACTAAGTCATAATTATAATCTATAAGTAATATACCCCGTAACAAAAAACAACAAACAAAAGTGGTGTTCTATTATAAGCTCTAGGCATATGTAAAATGGAGATGTTTTTGAATACCAATAATATTATGCTTTTTTTAGGTAGAGGATGAAACTACAACAGAAGACCCCTGTTGTGTTGGTGATAAGGTATTAATAGTTTCATATGCGTATATTCATGACATCATTATCATTATTACTGTATCATTGTGTATTAGCAAACTAATAACAGTACTTATTCACCATAACTCATGGACTTTTCTCTTATGACAACCATTTGTCAGTTTCTAAAACTAAAACTGTGGCCAAACAGTCACTCGCAATCGTAAGAGTGTATTTAGTGGACTATGAAAAAGGACTCCATGTCATATCATATGATATTACTAATTATTATTATAATAACGAAGTGGCCTGGCGATGAACATATTGCTTGCTATGATCATACCTAGATATTATATATACACAGAAAAAACTGCGAAAGTTTTTTGTATATTCCGATTAAATATTTCCAATCCATTTTATTATGTCAAGCTGAGCTGTTTTACTAGGCAATAGTTACATTTTATTCTCATAAACAAATTCTCATATCAAATCATGTATTTTTAGACACTACTAGGTTTTTTTCTATTTAGAAAATATATTATATAAAATATAATGAATACTGTATAACTAATACAGTATTCATTAGTAAATTCATAATTATTCGTAATCAATCAATAACTTAAACTAACACTAGTGTTCTTAAGACTTTTGTGCTTAAAACTGCTACTCGCCTGGAGGTATTTCAAAGTAAACTTATTACGTAGATCACTAAATAAGTTTTGAGATGCTCAAAATTTGAAAATGGAACGCACCTGTGCCGTATATTATAAAAATTCAAATTTATTTTAAAAACGAAGACAAAAGGCACTTTACAGCAATTAAAAAAAAAATACAAGTATTATACTGTCATAATTTCCCGCTTCTTCGTCTGCTACAATGGAGCTTAAACGTGAAAATTTGCGTGCCATGCTATATGACGACTTTACATGTTGTTTATCTTAAGATTTAAGTTAAGGACGTATAAAATCAGCTTTAAGTGAGTCTGTTCCTTCTTGGGCAACCATTTTTAGATAGTTTAACGAATTTAAAATTGGGAAAACTAACCTTGAAGATGATGATAGAAATGGACGCCCGCCAACAGTAGTCATTGCTGAAAATGTGTGGACTAATGAATTCTTGTGCGAGATGACCCACTAATTACACACAGGGACATAGAGATTTTTTTATGAATCAGTTCGGTTAGTGTTCATACCATATTACATGAACATATTAGAACGAGGAGGCTTGGTGTCGTTTGCCCTCCGAAACGTAAAAAGAAGCCCGTGTGGAAAGGTAAGGTGAGATGCGTCTATGTTTTGAAAATGGAAGGTCAAGGCGTGTTTCTGAAATCATTACTGGCAACGAAATATGAATATATCAATATAATCCGGAAAACAATAAGTTTTCATCGGTTGCAAAATTGCAAAGTCCGTGGCACATTAGCAAAAAAAATGGTGGCCCTGTTTTTTTTTTCACGGAGTGTTTGTCTTGCAAAGTCAATCAATGCTAGAGAATTGTAAGCCTGTTAACTCAGAATGGTACACTACAGTCACATTGACACAAGTTTTCAAAGCTGTGCAGTAGAGACAACTCCCCTGAGCCTGAGCAATTCCCCTGAGCCCGGTCTTTGACCATGATGCTACACCACGACAATGCGTTTTCACAATCTTCCCCCAGAACAAAGGCGTTTATTAAAAAATCGGATATTGAAATCCTACCTCATCTACCTTACAGACCCGACTTCTTTTTATTCCCCACCATAAAAGATAAGATAAAAGGCAAATTTTTTTCATGTGCCAAAGAGTGGTGGCTACGTAATTAGCCACTATGGACCTGTCGGAGGAAGACTGGAATAAGTGTTTCCAAGACTGATTAGGTGGTTTGATATTTGTATACTAAGTGATGGAGAGTACTTTAAAAAAATATAATGTAAATTAAAAGCATAAATAGTTTTCTTTTTGCGTTTCTCAAAATTTATATAGTGTCACTATATCTATTTTTTTTCATTTTAAATAGCCTTACAGTGCATAAAAAAACACTGCAATGTAATTAATCAAACAGCCGAAGACCCCTTGACCGCCAACTTATGTTAGTGTGCGTAGACTGTATGCACGGAATACAAGTGTAGTTATTACTTTTGTGCTATACCTACGGGGAATGACCTTAATCTTTTACAGCTGATTGCATAAGACGTTTAATTTTCCGGCAGAAGATTCCTATGATTTTCGACTCAGAATGATTTTCAGTATTCGTTACGACGACCCTTACACCCTCTATATTATTTATAAGGCTCTAAATTCGAGACATCTGTGAACTTAATTTGCTAGGAATTTGGCTTACACTCACCTATCCATTCAAGTAAGCATAATCAGTTTCCTATCATTACTTTATTTTCTTACCTACCTTCTTTTTACTATACTCTACAAATTTCTATCGAATTCTCGAAAATATTATCGAATCGACAACAATAGCTTTGCCTCCTATTGTGTAAGTATGACTTAAACTGCGATCGGGGAAATGTGGGCGGGTGTCTATCTTCCCGATAGACTTAAGTATGTTAATATTGCATTTTTTCAAAAGACTTGGTATAAGAAAACAATATGTTCTTTACAACAATAGTGTTGAGTTGTTTTGTGTTAAATATGAATTACTCTAAGACCGAATATATTTTCGTTATTAGTACGAGCATATTTTTAACAAACTGACACCCGCAACTTGGTCTACGTCTCTTAAAAGGAATAAATCGCCGTTTTTGCAATATTTTTGTTTGATACTCAGCTCCTAATGGTGATAGTATGATGCTATATAGTCTATGGCCTTGGTGTAGAAATGCGCTATCCAACGCTAAAAGACTTTTTCAATTTGAACCTGTAGTTCCTGAGATTAGCACATTCAACCTAACAAACAAACAAATTCTTCAGCTTTATAACATTAATATAGTTGTGTTTATATTTCCAAACTTGTATGTATGCTTTTAAAAAAAATTAGTATAATACGATACTTTGTTATTATTTAGTTCTGTTATTCCGAAGAGCAAGCTAACTGTCTTCAAAAAAAGCAGAAAGAAGAAATCAAAGAAGAGCAAAAAGAAAATACAGACGATCACAGTCACGTGCTTACAAACGATGGTGAAGCTAGCCATGTTGAGGGTGCGGCAATGGACATGAAAGCGTCAACTGTTCTGTATCGAGGGAAAGACTATAAAAAATATGACGAAAGAAATCGGTTCGTTTTGCGTAAAGGAGCGAACGCAGCATATACAACTGAACGTGGAAGCCGATATTTGTCATCTGCTGAAATTTTGAAGACAGTAAGTAAATGATTAAATATATCATGGTAGTAAACAGTAACTTATACATATGTCTACTAGCTGTTGCCCGTGGCTCCGCCTGCGCGGATGCTGGTTGTCACGGTAAAAAGTAGCCTATGTTACTCGCTGATAATGTAAAAATGTCACTTACAATTGGTAAAAGATTTTTTTAAATTGGTTTTTGGTTACGACGTAGCACTAAAACAAACAAATTCATTTTGCCAATTTAAATATAAAAATTGAAGTATGGGTTGTTCAGCTCCATAACTGATTGATAGTCAAGACTGTCAGATATAGAGCTATTGTGTGTATAAGCTATATACTCGTACATACCTCACAAGTTAAATATTTTTTTAATTTTTATTTTATATTTAATACATCGTATGGTCTATTAAATATAAATAATTACTATCTACAATTCATCTATAATTTGATGCAGAGACAAAAAGTAGATGCATTTTAACTGGGGAAAATGGTTTTGGTTAATCATTTAACATCCTATATTGTAATAGTATCAAACCATAATTATAATTCTTGACATTTAAAAGACAACGCCCGCAGTGGGTATATATCTTGTGTCGCGGGGGACTTTACCAACATTCATCAAACGGACACAAAGATCAAACAGACTCAGAACAATAATTTATGGATCAAACAAAGTGTTGTCCCATGTGGGGATCGACACTCAGCGCAGTTGGAAGTAATGAGGTGATCGCTCAAACCACTACGTAAGTCATCTGTGCACTTAAAATATTTACCTATAGTACAATATGTAAACATACTAAACACATATTGTACATTTAAAAGGGACCTGCATCACCAATATCGAAAGGCTATGCTGTGTAGGATATATAATAGCTCACTCTCCTATATTTAATAACTGTCAATCAAAGTGCACGTGAAGCCAATGAATGGCGATTGCTGTGTGTGCGAGTGCTGTCCATCAGGGTCATAAGGGTCTCCTTTGAGGCGGCGAGTCTACTGACCGGAACTCCACTGTGGAACCTGGAGGCGAGAGACCTTGCGGCTGTATATCAGCGGCGGTGGAGTGAAAGGAGTGACTTGGGTAACCGAGCGCCGGGCACGCCGTTATCGCGGCTGTGAGACTCGTAATGGAGGATTGACGTAGGTGATCACCGGGAAAGGATGCTTCGAAGACCAACGCCTGAGTGTCACCACTGCAATGGTCGGACCGTCTACACGGCGCTCCACACGCTGGGAGAGTGCCTGACGTGGGTGGAGCAGAGGCGTGACCTCGTTGCAGCCATCGGAGTGGGAATTCTCTCGCTTCATAACATGATTGCCGCCGTCTCCTTCTCCGAGCAAGTTATGCTGGCGAAGGAGACGGCGTAGCGGGAGGTTCAGAACTCTCCCGGCCCGCCAGACCCGGGAACGGGCCAGGTACTGCAGACGACTCAGGCGCCGGAGGTCGCAGAATGCCTTCATCTTCCATAAGCGCAGGCCTGGGGGCAAAAGGTGAGATCATCTGACCAGACTAGCAGAAGCAGGCCGGAGTGGGTGAAGGCGAGACGCGCTACTCAGCGCGCACTCCCTTTGGGGACAGGAAGGGAACATTGGGTTCCCATACAGTAGAGGATCATCTATAAGCCATAGATGGCCCGAGGTACGTCGGCGTACTAGGGCTTTCCTTTCTATTGTTTATCTGGTTTCCCGGCTACTGTTACCTGGAGACGGCGTTCGGTTTTTGGTCGGTTCGAGTCCGATATAACCATCCCACTGTTGGGTGGTATCCGAGGGGAGTCCCGCACAGGAAAAAAAAGGGAATCATGGATATGGAAATCTTAACCTTGACAACAATAATAGCATGGTTAAGATTTTCAACTACTTCTTCCACAATCTTCTTCTCCAAGATATAAGGAAGGAAAAGGCCCATCCTTAGGAATTCTCCTTTGTAGTCGGTTGTCTCAGTTAGTAAGTTAGTTCTTTTGATTATTATCGCTTTTATTTAAAAAAAAATATCTTCACGTCTTGTTAACGTAAATGTAAGTGCCTAATCAGCTACCCTAAATTCTGTGTAGGAAACTATGGCAAAGCATAATGGATTCAGAACCAACATGTATTCATATTTATTAGTATAATGTATATTTATCATTCTAGATCGCTCAAGTCTCTGAAACTCAAGTGCGAGCTGAAGATGATGAAGATGATACCTTGGTAAAATTCCAGAATTTTCTTTATTCAATTTTTTAAATAAAAATGCACCAAATAAAAAAGTAGATATCCTTAAGGTGATAAGGAATGTCTCTTAACTTTACAAAAGATAGCAGTTGGACGACCTTACTAGTACACTCGAGAGCATTGCTCTTTAGTGTACTAGTCGGGGTCACATTATACTCGTATATTGAAAAATTTGGGCAACTTACTATAGTTAATCTTTTCTAAAAACTGTTTACAGTAAAAACTGTCTAGAAGCTATATAAATAAAATTTATAAAGACGCTTGTCTAAATAATCATATTCTGAGTGATAGATTTATTTTAATTTATTACAACGTACAAAAAACCAACCCTACTTTCTACTTTCTACAACCAAACCTGTGCTCTACTATTTAGTTCGGTACAGTTACTATTAACGCGTATTTTTACAACTACATTATATAATAAAGTTATTAAGTACGTATGCATAATAATGTCAATAGTAAAATAACTTTACCCATCTCACACACGGCCGTCTGATTCCAAACTAGGCAGAGCCCATACTATGGTAACCGGTTTGGTACAGTTTGGTTACCATAGCATACTATGTATACCATAGCAAACTGGTGTATAAACATACTTGTATAAATTACACCCAGACACAAAACAAATAAGCGTGCTCATCACACAATTATTTGTCCTGAGTGGGCATCGTACCCACGATTTCTAGCTTAGTAATCAGTATCACTTACTAATAAATCAACGGGCCTGTCATATATATCAAATAAATGTTTATAAGATATTTTTTGCAACCTATGTTAGGTTAGTTTTATTATCTCACACATCTTACACACGGCCGTCTGATCCCAAACTAGGCAGAGCCTGTAAATTACATCCAAACACAGAACAAATGACCGTCAAAATATTATATCTTATTACTTTTAAATATACATATTTTAAATATACTACATGCCACACGCAGCTCTGCAACACCCAATGGTTTGACTGAAAGACAATGCCTATGACATGATAAAATAGATATACAGGAATTTTAAATGAATAAACTTAGTACTTTGAAAATTTTCATTACATGGATAGATGGAAATATACAGGTCAAACCCGTATACAGTGACTATAACGAAATACTTCGTTGACTTAGATATATGACACTATCAAACTGTCTTGTAAATATATAACTTGTACAGATATGGAATATCATATATTATACATTTTGTAAGGATAAAACCTATCACAAGAAAACAATCTGTATTACGGTGGTTATTTATGTGAATTCCTCTAACCTTTGTTACTTAGAATTAAATTAGGTACAATACTTTTAATAAATATACATTAAATTTTTAGGAACCCGTGCAACACCGAAGATTCGTTTATGAAGGTCAATCACCAATGGTGAGTTAATGAAAAAAATAGTTTAAGTACCAAGTTAATTACCTTAGATTATATTATTAACCATGAAAATTTGAAGTTAGCTACATTACAGGAACTTGCCGAAACTTTATATTCTTAAAGTTTAGACAAATTATAACAATAGTTTTGGACTTAAACTTTTACTTATCTAGTAAGAATTTACAGAAGGAGTCGACCTATGCGTAGAACAAAGTTTCATTGATTACTAAAACGGTTTGTACTTTTATGGTTTAATTGGTCTATCTTTACAACTATTTTGAAACTCATTTATAGTTTCTTGTTGTTGTGTCTTCTTACTAGTCTAGTATGTAACTTGTTCTACGCATAGAGTCAACTATTGAATATAAATATACATAAAAATGGTTTTCAGTAATCTCTAGAATTCTCAGTTTTAAAATTTTGTAATCTAAATAGGAAAATAAGAAACGTATGAACTGGACACCTAAAGCTACTAACTGGCGCAGACAACTAGGAGCTAAGGTACATTTTTAATTATTTTTGATTTTAATTCTATTCTTAAAATTAAACGGTAGGTTTAGTTATGAGCGTAAAAAGGGAACAACGCCTATGATACATTCATAGGCGTTGTTCCCTTTTTACGCTTTAATTTCAGCCATAAACTTCGTAGACTGGTAGATTATTGTGTATGGCGTATAATCAAACCAGTGGGTGGGTTCGATTCCCACCCAGGGCAAACATTGTGTGATGAACACGATCATTTGTTTTATATCTGGGTGTAATATATCTGTAGTATGATTATTTTTTTGAATAGAGGGCAAATGAGCGGGCCACATGATGGAAAGCGACTAACGCCGCCCATGAACGCCTGCAACTCAGCAGTCACAAGCATTTAGAAATATGTACGTATGTATATTTATCAGCAGCCTGAATACCACAGTACAGTCTTTGCCTAGTTTGGGATCAGACTGTCGTGTGTGAGATGTGTGGAGATGTATCTGTGGAGTGGGAGTCCACAAAATTGTTTTGACATATAATCTGTTATATATTTTTTTCTTACCAGCGATAAGGTGTAAAGTCAAATAACGAAGAAATTGCTGAACACCGATTTTCAAAGTTGTTTGTTTGTTTTGTACGTATCCGGCGAGTTGTCGGTCGTGGAAATTTATAAAGGCCCTGTGGCATGTCCGATGGATTTAAAATTGGAATTTAAAATATAAGATATTTAACGTTGGTTTATTTTAAATTATTTCAGGCAGGAAACAGACTGACAATTGAAACTTTCGGCTTTCTAAATGCGGCCACTTGTAAAAAAATGCTTTTGAAAGCTCAGCCTGATATGACGATTCGTAAGTTTCTCTTCAATTTAAAAAGACTGTAAACATTCCATCAAAATGAATTAAGAAAAAGTATGTGAGTAGATTATGATGAACACCTGCCAATATTCTCAAACAACAAATAAGTAGATAGACGTAAGCTGCATAACATCGGTGGTAGTAGGTTTTTTTTAACATGTCTTCACGTCACAGTCTTTAATAGACCATAATGTTGACTTCGTTTTTGTCTAGGTTAAAAGATGAAAAGATCGTGAGTGTTCTTAGTTATAATCTAATAAAATCTCTTCAGCCGAGTCAACATGAAGGCATTTTTGATTATATTTTAAATAATTAATATGCTGTCGCAATCTGCTAAAACTTAATTAACTCACATGTAAAGAGTATGAAGTATGTCACCTGCTGTTGAGACAGGTAGCATAGTATGGTAATTTTCATTATTTTAAGGGTCTTTGGAAGATATTTATCATTTAACGTCGTAATTTCGGGTCTTCATTTTAACCGTACTTTACATTACTTTAATTTAACATAAAAGTAATATATAATTTTGTGTCATATTATCGACATTGTTTTCTCTACAGAAGGCAATGAGATTGTGTGTTACTCTAGTGACGACCACTATGTGAATGAAGTAAGTCAATTTTATACTTTTATTTTCTTCTGTTAATCTGTATTTTAACTAAATATATGACCTAAAACCTTCATTCCTTGATACAAGGAATGTAGGTTTTAGGTAAGTTAAAGCCTATTATGTAATTGGTTTCATAAATCAATATTAAAAGATTTATAGGTTTGGGCAGTTTCTGTACATATTATAAATATAAGTAGAAGTCGACGTTCAAAAGTACTAAATTACATCATACAATACACACGTATTGTGCTAGCAGGCTTTCTATCTGATATTATTAAGTTTGACTTGTTATCAAGAATCTTTAAAATTCTTCTCTTAGGCACGTTCTTAAATTATCAAAGATCGTGTCTAATTTGACACCACTCCTTTGTAAAATGATGTTTCTACTAGGTTCTTCAATTCACGAGCCGAACGAATACCGGTGTATCTACATGTACATACCGGATATCGGTTGTGACTAAAACATCTTGAATAAGTACCCGAATAAAAATATAAAAGTTCCTAAGTCGTTGTGTTGTAAATATTAGGTCCTTACATATGAAATTAGCGTTTTGTTGTACTGACCACTTTGATCTGAAATATCTCCTCTTTGGTTAAGAACTCCAAATTCAAATTTATAAATTCATTCAAGTTACTTGTGAGTGTTTGGTAGACTAGCGCCTGTGTCGTTCGCTAAAATCTGGCCAAATGATGACGGCAGATATCTGTTGTCAGCAACTGCAAACCATGAAGGAAGAACTAGCTGTTAAACAACCGAGATTGGTCAATCGCTCTAGGCCACTGCTGCTTCACGACAACGCAGGATCACACACTGAACAACAAACAACCACTAAGTTAGATGAGCTACAATTGGAATGTCTGCGACATTCACCGTACTCTACGGACCTTGCTCCGACAGATTACCATTTTTTCCGGAATTTGGACAAGTTCTTACAAGGGAAAAAAAGCAACTCCGATGCGGCAGTCCAAACCGCCTTCAAAGAGTTTATTGATTCTCGCCCCCATAGTTTTTTTAGTAAAGGGATCAATGAACTACCTATAAGATGGCAAAAGTGTATAGATAACAACGGTGCATACTTAGATCAATTAAATATATTTTACAAAAAATAAAATGACTTTATATTCCATCCGTACAAAACGCCAATTTCATATGTAAGGACCTAATACTCGTAATAGCTTGGTTGTTATTTTAATTGCTTTATATTACTTTTAATTTTTATTAATATCTACATATTTTCAGTTCAATCATTAGGTCTTAATCATCATCATCACCATCAACAGCTTTCATACTCGTAGTCTACTGCTGGACATAGGCCTGTCCTTAGAGAATAATTTTTGGTCCACATACCACGCTGGCCAGATGGGTTGGGATAGGATTTGTTTCAAGTTTTTCTTCTCTTTTTAATGCTATTGTCCTGCGTAGTATACTCCCTTAGTCGGCTCTCCACGGTATGCATAGAGGTTGTGCCCCTTCATATTTTTAATCCGTCAAAACACGGACAAATAATCGTTATAGATAATCTTAATAATTAATCATAAGTGAACAGCAAACAATATATTCGGCAGGGAGACTCAGGTGCTCCAGTGGTTCGTCTTGGTCAACTAATTGCTATAACAGTAGGCGGAATCAAATCTGAGGGTAATCACGTAGCTGTCGGTATGAAGCTCAGTTACTTCTGTCCGTGGATAAACGAGAATCTCCCGTAAGTTTCATAAAATCTTATTTGAGAGTTTATTTCTTCATTATGTCTAGCCAATTTATAAGTTTTTTTATTTAATAAATTTCTGATGAGTGATTTTTTAAATTATTAGATTGTGTTTTCAAAGTGGGTATAATATTTTACTTACGAAGAAAACATATAAAAATACCGATCTACTTAAGTGTAAATACAAATTCAAAGATATATGCCCCAAATTCACCTATTTTTTCTTAAGAAAAAATTAAACAGAATTCTCATAAAATCAAAACACTATACCATTCCGAAGAATGTTATACTGAGACAAGCGGAAATAGAGAAGCATGAAGCGAATATTCTCCCCGATATGTTACTGAGCACAATAGCGACGTCAGTTATCACCGTGACGCCGTCAATTACCACTTTTCTTTTGTGTTCTACTACCAACCTATTATATTTTCTTTAAACACTATCCATTCACTTTAAAATTTTAGTCTTATTTTATATAATATGATCAGCAGTAATAAAGCGAGGTGATTACACGTTTCTAACGCGTGCGTGAATTCGTCCAAAAATAGGAACAATCCGGTGAACTAAAAGTGATTAATTTCTTAGTTCCCTAAATTGTTCCTAAAAATATGTGTAAAAAATCCTATTGCAGTTCATTAATTATTTAATTTCAGATGTATTAAAACTCTGTTTTACTTTTAGATTGATAGAACTCTTTATTTGTACAAAGTTTTACAAGAAGTATGGTACATAAAGGGTACATAAAAGTGTCAAATATAAAATGTACAAAGCAATCTCTTAAAGGCAACCTTAGGTTGGATCAAATCGTTCCGGAGAGACAGTAGTAGTTGACGGTGAAATGAGTTTTCGGGTTAATTGCTAACTACTTTTAATATGCTTACTTTAATTAAGCTTAACTTATTTATTTAAAATTTGTTTTTTATTGTACAGGGCTGGTGATTCTAGTTTAAATTGCTGGGCTCAAACTCAAACCACTCCCAGCAACGATACCATTGCCGACGAAAAACCCGAAACCTACAAAAGAATTCGAATACATTAAATCAAATTAACGTTGGTAGTAAAATAAACTGAATAATAATACGCTTTGTATTAATTGTCAATACATGATTCCAGTTTGAATCATGGGAATATTGTATTTGTATAAGAACTACATTAATTTGAAGTTAATTCATTTTAATAAAAACTATTTGAAAATTAACATCAGTTTTAGTCACGATAATATACTAGAAAATGAAAACCATAGCAAGAACAAGACAACAATGATAGAGCAATAAATGACTTAATCTGTACAGAAATAGAATACTTGCCAAATCAAATCTTCATATCATTATTCATCCACAAAAATAAAGAATTTTAACAATATAATTCTCCTAGACGTCACAAGCTTGCATTAATAAAAAACTATAATAATATCATCATCATTATCATGATAATAATATGGCTATGCGATAGGCTGATAATAATATGCTTATACAAAATCACAAACGTATACAGCACAAAACCATCTTTCCAAATAAAAATGACTCATTCAAATTCAATGAGTGCACTTTGCTGGCAGAATAAAACTTAATCGAAAAAAGCTGAGATTTATGTTGTTACTATTACACCTTCATACTTCATTTTACATTCGTCATGTACTTTTACTGTATGTATGCATATATGGGTTAGAGAGCTTGGTTCCCTGAAAAAGAACATACGAGATATAGTCCTCAAATCCATCAATATAATCAGTTTAGTTTTCCTGACATTACTAAGATGGTAACCTTTCCTGCCAATATTCTCTTAATTCTCCTGTCTATTCCTAAAGTAATATTAGGGAAGTGTTACTAATATTACAGTTAGTAAAATGTGGGCGTTTATCACTCTCCTGCCTACCCCGTCGGGGTTATAGGAATTTATGTGCGTGTTTTTTTTTTATTTTGTTTATATTTACTTATCAATAGATATTACAAAATTCGACACTTTACCAGTGAAAAATAACACAATCACAAGCTCTTATGTATTTAAAATTATTTTATACGGATCGTATTGTGTAGCTTATATTTCACACGGTTATATGAAGCGCCTGAGGCGAAGAAATGGCTCAGTAATGATCTGCTATGTACTGGTCTAGACAGGAAATGATACAGGACTTAGAATAGCTCCCTTGGCGACATGTAGATACAGTACACACCAAAGAATGTGAACACTTTCCGGCAACAAAAGAATGAAATTTTATCGTACATTCGGCGAAACACAACACAGTATGAATAAATTTAAAAGAAAATCAAACCAATACTAAAAGTTCTAGTTTTAGCAACATTACATTTTTAGGCAACGTAATGTAAGTTTACCCATAATTACTACTACCCATAATACTAATTCCTTTTAAGTGATGAAATATACTGCTGAAAAACCAATTATCTCCTAGAAATACATATACATCACAATTTAATCAGTCACTTATATTTTACAGATTAACCGTTTACCATATTTAACCATAGCCTAAACTAAAACAAAGTCATATTAAATAGTGTGTATCAGGCGAGCCCTACTATAAATAAAAATAACAATATAAGCAGTACTTCGTAAAGATTATACCTAAATTCTTTGTAAAAATAAATCTATAAGATATATACAGTTGTAATAAATACAATATAATTGTATAACAAATAGATTTTATACAGAAACATGACTTCAACAACTAACAATTGCAAATAAGGTGAACAGGAAAACAATACCTTTATGATTGCAATCAAGAAAAATAGTCCATTCTTGTTTTATACAATATGAAGTGAATTGTTAATTTTCTTTATATCTTTATTATATGACGTAGTGTTGTAGAATTATTTTATTAGGATCCTAAATTAGAAGAAGTTAACAATTATGTTCTATATTATTTCCTTTACATTTTCATTTAAAGTTTTAAAAAAATGAGGTTTTACGAATGTGTGTGAGAGATTAAGCTGTTTGCACATATTCGAAATTTAAACAGAAAATGAGATATTATTTGTGTATGCATTTATACACTGTATCTGTAATGATATTTAAACATTACCAATAAATGGATGGCTTTTATACAAAGCTGCGAATAGCAGTATAGTTAATACCGTAGCATTGTGGTTGGATAATAATCGGTACATTGTCGCCGAGTGGGGCACTGATCTCGGATTATCAGAGCAATTCCCGGGGAGTGAACCCAAGCTCAACTATGGAGCTGCATTCTGTAAAACCTACATGTACACAAAGTATACAGAGATAGTTTAGGCCACGTAATCCCTTTCAAACACGTGATCTTAGTAGGATTACCGATATAGATTGCTACGGCGGAACGTTTTTTTACGCTTTTAGGATCGGGAGTGGCATGATGCCAATTTCGATATAGTTATATGTATGTATATTTCTTTGTCACGCTCTGTATCCTAAATGGCTTAATGGACTTTGGCGTTTAAGGTGTCGAAGGCAGGTGCGATTTGTAGTAAAAAACAGCGAAACGATTACTTAACTTCGGTTTCTGTAAGGTCGTGGTGTTACTCCGGTCGAACCGGTCCATTTTTGTCGGAGCATGTCTCTCCCATTATGAACTAGTGAACTCCAACTTTGCATTTATTGTTGTAGTTTAAACCTCAACGCTGTTTCATCCAATAGAAACTAGTGAATAGGATCGCAAAATCGTGCCATGAGTGTCTAGTACCCAAAGGAATGGTAATAAATCCTAATTTTAACAAAGTATATAATGCATGCATGGTATATCTACTAAGTTTAAAATTAAAATAACTGTGAAAATATATTAAACGCGGTATCCTATAATAGTAACTTGAAATACGCTATCTCACCACTATATGTGGCACTGGTAATTCAAGCTCGCTGCTTAACAACAGCTTCAAAAGCATTGTTTCAACGGTTTTTGTATTGACAAAACATTTTTTTAAACTCTTAAATAATGAAAACTACAAGGAGAAGTGTCGTTTTAACGAGCCAACACTATTTTTATTGGTGGAGCATAACGTTAAGTCGTGTGAAAATAAGTTTTTCAATAGGCAAAGGTTTTTTATTTTTAACACTTTTTGCTCAAACATTATTGCTTTTTGTAAAATTATTGTTTTCTGAACCGAACAAACTTAAAAATAGGCACTGCATGGTCAACTTTATAGAAGAAGTAGGTGAGGTGAGAACAGAATGTAAAGTAGTATTGTCGCGCAGACGACCAGGTGCTGACCAATAAGGAGCCAATTTAAGTCAAGGCGCGAGGAGAAATCATGGAATCAAAGATTAAAAACGAATGCGGAATTATATAGTTGTTGTCGATGTACAGATCCAGATTTATAACAGAAGGGACGTAGGGTACGTCTGATTTGTTAAATGTCTTACATGGCAGTTGATATGATTCTAATTCCTAATCATTTTTCTTCCTCTATGTAAAGACGATTTTATATTAAGTCATTGCCCTTATTTCCTATAATCCTTATGTTCTATTGTAAATATTAAATAGTAATTCTTCAGCTAGATGGCTCAGGTTGTCTAAGCCACTGTTGCATAGACGTCCTGAGCTGTGTAGTTGAATTACAATTGGTACTAGTTACTAGACTTGCAAACGATCAGACAGGAAGGAAAGCGACTGCCGCCACCCATGAACGCCACCCACTCAGGAGTCACAGTGCGCATTGCTGGTCTTTGTTGATATCTTGTATATGTGGCACTTTCTTAAGTTGTATTATTTAGTTTCTTTTTATTTAAAAAACTACTCTTGCATTAGGAATATATATCCTGTGTCGCGGGGTACTTTATAGATATACATAAAACGGACACAAAGAATACCCAGACTCAGAACAACCATTTATTGATCACGCAAAGTGGTGTCCCATGTGGTGATCGAACCCACAACACTCAGCGCGGTAGAAAGCGGCGTAGCGACTACTTAAACCACTACACCGTCACACACATCCGTGCAGTCAAAAGTTGTAATCCAGTTACGAGTATTTTCTTTAATAAAAAAAATACAAGTGTACAAAATACGTACTTATCTAATTCAGTATTAAAAAACACATAAAGAGCTTTAATTACAAACCCTTTCGAGCGGTTATCGACGGTTTGCTAATCTGTTAATCTGTGATCGTGAGAGATACCCTTAATATGGGGTATTTGCAATATAATTAGTGGACTCAGACTACGGTCTGATTAGGTGGAAATAGATTGATGTAGGGAATAAACCGATTCAACACATATCCAGAGCGGGCTCATATATATCTGCGGGTATTAATGGCACCGATTTGGGAAGGCGTAATATTTTATTGGTGTTTCTGTATGTTTCTTTTTCATATTTTTCATGTGGTTAGTAAGAAAATAACTTCTTCATCATTTCTGTCTTTAGTAAATCGGCGGTCTTAATAGTAGAAAAATGCTACTATTGTAAGACATGTACTATATGGTACTTCAGAGATAAAAAGTCCACATAACGAATTTGAGTGAATTCGGGTGGTAGCTATCATTGTCATCCTTCTCTTGTGTTTTCCTTCAGTCTATAAGTAAAGATACATTTTAGGTATTTGTTTTCAAAATTTTACGATCAGTAATCTTAGAGATATGGAGAAGGGGGAAATATCAATTTCCACCATATTTCCCAAATATAAAAATTATAAGAAATAAATCCGTTTTTTTAAATAGTTGAACCGACTTCAAAGAATACTAACAACAACGAGAACTAAAAACCTAGCAGCAATAGGGGTTGATTTGCTGTCATTTTTTGAAAATTTACTTTGTCTGTCCCTCATAAGCTATCTTAAATTTAAATAGAACCATTTCAGGATAAACCCCTTTCGAACAAAAAAAAAATCGTCATAAAGAGACGGATATTCAATTTTTTTTTTACATACACAAAAACATACATAAAAAAAATATACAGACATCCGAATTGATAACCTCCTCCTTTTTGATGTCGGATAAAAATACTGCACACAGTCACTATAAGTAATTTTATTTGATATGCCACACACGCTACTTTTCCTCTAAACGTGACCCTCATATTCAAGACTAATTTTTTACGCTGCACATTTATATTTG